AAAATACTTGGTAAATAAATATATAGCATTATTTTGTATTATAACTTTGATATTTAATTAAAAAAATAGTGCACAAAAAAGATAATAGATAATGTAGTGAATATAATCAATTGATGAATTTGAATGTAAAGAATTTTTACATTCGAGAAATATAAATACAATATAACTAATATAATTATTTCTCTTAATTAATTTATTGATAATGAATAATTTTTTTTAATAAAGACATTGTATGGACAATGTAGCGAATATAATCAATTGATGAATTTGAATGTAAAGAATTTTTATATTGGAGAAAAATAAATACAATATAACTAATGAAATTATTTCTCTTATTTAATTTATTGATAATGAATATTTTTTTTTGAATAAAAACATTGTAGACACATAATTCTAAATTAAATAAATGCATATGTATTATTTTTTGTTGTAGCTACTAAATTATTATTTAATTTAATAAGAGTAAAATAGAGTACTAAATAGAGTACTAATTATGCCAACTTTGATTGGGATGAGGTTCGAACCTAAGACCTTTCTTATTGAAATCAATGAGTAAGTTAACGGTGAACTAACAAAAATTAACGAAAAAGATAATATTTAACGGAAAAGTTAACGGATAATCATATTCATCAAGGATAAATTAGGAAATCTTAAGGAAAAATTAAAATCTGATCAATATGAGCCATTCATTTGATTAAAAAATTTGACCGTCATTTTTTCTACCCATTGTAGGCCTAACTCTCTTGGACTGTTATATATATATATATATATATATATATATATATATATATATATATATATATATATATATATATATATATATATATGTATGTATGTATATGTGGAGGCGTTATTGGCTCTTTGTGTTTCAGTAGGTTGAGAAAGTATATGAACAGATACTACAATGTAATAGAGCTAGTAGCATTCAAAAATGTATGTATATATATATATATATATATATATATATATATATATATATATATATATATGTATGTATGTATGTATATGTATGTATATGTATGTATGTATATATATATATATATATATATATATATATATATATATATATATATATATATATATGTGTGTGTGTGTGTGTGTATATATATATATGTATGTGTGTATATATATATATATATATATATATATATATATATATATATATATATATATATATATGTATGTATATATATATATATGTATGTATATGTATGTATACATATATATATATATATATATATATATATATATATATATATATATATATATATATATATACATACATACATATATATATATACACACACACACACACACACACACACACACACACACACACACACACACACACACACATATATATATATATATATATATATATATATATATATATATATATATATATATATATATATATAGTCGAGTTCAGGTATGGCGGCGCCTTCCCATGCGTTTAGTGCGGTCGCACCAATAGTTATACAAATATGCACCATAAATGTTAGGAAATGTACAATAAAAAACATCCACCATTAGATACACATCACCAAAACCGCACTATTCGGTATGAATAAAAGTACTACACAATGTTTCACAATGCACCATTAGACGTGGGGAGTTATATGATGCATTTTTTTTTGGGTGTGTTGTGCATTTTTTGGTGTATTTTTGCATTTCATTGTTGTGCATTTTCTTAACACTATTGGTGCATATTTCAAGCGACCACACAGCCGTATTAGTAGACGCAACTGCATTTGAACAGACTTTTATATATATAAAGAAAAGCGCAAGAACTAGAGAATATTATAATTTAGCAATTGTCAATATGTATATCTCAGAAATTAAATTTAAGCCCCATCAGAAGAATCTTAATCAATTAGTCTTCTTTAATTGAGGTTTTTGATGTAATCATGTAGAAGAGAGCTGCTATTCCTCAAATGTTGGCCCTTCACTAGGGCCGCCCAGTATTTCGCGATAATCTTTTCCCCCTCCTTCCATGACTCTTTTTGCCTCTGCATCCATCAATGCAATTTCTTTTATTATTGCTACTAACTATACATATCGATAAATTATTTGCATTTTTTTTAAAGTTTTATATTATTAATTATTTTTTATTTCTCTTTTTCAGAGACAAATTCATTCACAATAAAATAATTATCAAACAACATTAGAGTACGTTCAATCTCTGTGCATATTGATTTCAAAATTCTTTTTAGTGTTATGTACACTCAAATAGTTCAAATTTAAAGTCAACTATTATATAGTGTGATGTCATATCTGTTATCATTTAAAATGTGTAACAGATACTACCTTGTAAAAAATCATAAGTTTTTCAAAAAAAAAAAAAAAAAGAAATCAAATGAAGTGAAAATTAACATCTACATTTTAATTTTGCATGTTGATGTTAACTGGACTCTGATCTTACATTATGTGTATATGTGTAAAAATATACATGTATGTAACAAAAAGTTCGCCAAGGAAACCAATCACAAAAAAATTAATAGATAAATAAAACTAAAAAAAAAATTCATAAGAACTAGCTAGAGAATAATATAATTTCGCAATAGCCGTTGACAAGGTTGTAGTATGCGTGGAATGGAAAGAAGGTTGTGAATGAAGATTCTCAGGATTGTCGTTCTCAAAGGATGGACAATTGGAATTGAATATTGTGTGATCAAACATAACCACACATTTGCAATAGAAAGCTAGGAAAGTTCATTCTGCAAGAGAGTAGAGTGCAAAGAAAAGTAAACAATGGAGTAAGTTAGGATGGTGTTAGGTGAATTGGATTTCCCTATCCCTTATGTATGTGAAGTGAATCAACCTAGGAGTGAAAACTACGTGGTGAATGAGTCTATGTGAGATGACTTCCAATGTCGTTCACCTCTCGGTTTACTAGGTCTATCATAGGTGTAGAACCGCCTTTAAGTGACTACTCTCCTTGAGCATTTCATCAAACATGTTAACGTTGTCTACATCTCATTCCCATCTTAGGCCTCTCAGAACTTAAAAGAAGGGAATTGCAAGGGGAGACAAGTCTAGGATTAAGCTACAATCTCTTGCAAGCCTAATCCTACTCAAACCTCAAGCATATGGTACGCATCCACGCACAAGAGTCCATACAAACTCCCCTTACAACAAGACATCAACACATGGAAATATGATCCAATTCACATAGAGATTTTAGCCAAGCATTGTCTAGATTGCAATATAAACACAATTAAGCAAAGTAATACAATTATAAGATGTAATGGAAGATGAAAAGTGCAGGAGATTACCAAGCTAAATTGCTACAATCCACTAGGTTACAAGAGAACAATCAATACATGGAGGTAGAGTTGTCAATTCTTCCTTCAATCCTTGAAGATCATCTTGCTTGGATGGAGAATTGAGAAAAGCTTGATCTAGAAGGTTACCTAATCTAGAGAGAGAATTTCCTAATCTAAAAAGCTCTAAAAATGCTGGAAAATACAAGATAGAATGAGAGATCCCCGCCACAAGCGTTATTTAAGAGGCTAAATTCTGTCGCGCGCATACGTGGCTGCGTACACAGCCCAGATTTCACTTATTCTTGGACACGAGCGTGGATATGCTTCATGGCATCTTCTATTTCCGATCCACGACGGTCCATGAACGTGGCCCACTCGTGGATGGGTCTTTGGCGCCTTTTTCCATTGCATTCTTCCTCGGTTTGCTCCGGTTAAAGCCATATGCCTTCCTTTAAGCTCAAAGTCATATGCCTTCCTTTAAGCTCAAAGCCCTTCAAAACACTAAAGTGTACATGTTTATGGGCATTTGCAACACATTAACACATTTCATAGCATTTACACCATAAATCATCCACAAAGGACTTCAACTAAGCATAACACAACCCCTTAATGACCCCTAAAAGGTAGTATCTTTGGCACTTAGCAGTTGTGAAGAAGGAGAGTATCGCCGGAAGGTTTGGGAAGTGAGAATAAAGAAATGCGGAAGGGGAGAAGGGAGAATGGCACGGCCCACGGGTATTTATAGGTATGGTTGGCTGGCCAGATCGCACCACGTGTACTCGATCAAACGGCTGGGAGGTGACGTAACGCTTGACAAGACGGTTATGAAAAGGCATGTCTTGATACTGTAACCGGTGGGAATTGAGGGGTTGGCATAATTACATGTTAGTGACCGTACCACTTCTCGGAACCAGCCAGGACAAAAGCGAAACCAGTCAGCAGAAGCGCATGCCCCCGACTGAGTGCTGGTTCGGCTGAAAACGAGACAGTAACAAGGCAACAGCGCCTCTCGAGTAGTCCGCAACAGCGCGAGCACCCAGGATACCAGGCCGCCCAGCAGGTATGCCCGATCATGGTTCCTGACTGGCTCAGGTGGGCGACCAGGCTTAGTAGTCGGCGTGTCCCTGACCGGGCCCCCGGAAGGGCTCGACCGGGCGACCAGGCTCGGTAGTCGGTGTGTCCCTATTTGGGTGTCTTAGCCTTCCTAACTGGGCTACCAAGTTAGGCAATCGGTGCATCCCCGACCGAGTGCGCGTTCCAGAGGCCGTTAATAGCAGATTCTGCAGAGATTCCTTTCCTTGTTCAACAAATAACTTCCCTTTTTTCAGTTTAAGCAGTTACCGCATTAATTATGGTAGATTCCTAAACTAATTTAGTTATTCTCTTGCCCTACTTACCTTATGAAAGATCTATTCTCTTGTATAAATACCCCATTGGGGTCACCTTGTAAAGGGCCCGAGATTCTTAAATAAAAACACTGTTACTCTACACATTTTTCGACATCAATCACTCTACTTTCATTGACCTAGTATTTTACAATAATGTTGACTCGCCGTACGGCTACCCTAAGCTTTGAAACCAACATTAGTAATGCATTGGCAAAATAAAATTAATACTCCCCCAAAGTTGAACTTGTAATCTTATGATTAAATCAACAATCCAACTAACTTGACTTGATATGAAGTGCATGTCATTCATGCCAAAATCAAACAAACATTTGATCGAACAGAATTGAATGAATGCCAAAGTATAGACTATAGACCATAAATAAACCATAATTCTATATACAATAGAGGTTCAAACATGACAGTTTTTAGCTGTATATGAGAAACACTAACCAAAATTTAGTTACTTCACAGAAATATACAACAATGCGATTCTGATGTTATGTTGCTCACTCTGACTCCCCTTCTTTCTTATATCCCATTGGTTAATCAATGGTGTTGGAATCCTCGTGGAAATCCTCACCTCTATTCATCCAATCTATACAATTCCAAAGAATTTGTTCACTTTTCTGCTGTGCAGGCCCAGAATTTCTACCTATTCCTAGTGAAATATAGTATGAACTTGATTCCACTCTTCCGGTTGCTCTTATATACATCTGGTTCTTAAGATCGGAGGGCAGGGCGGAGTTGTTACATCATATGGTCTTACACGGAAATGAGGCCCGCTCAGTCCAAGATCTTCTCTCCAGTTGAAAAGAGATTCCATACCACGGTTCCAACTAAGTATAGCCCCACTGAAACCTTAAAAACGTCATCCCAAGAACCTGTGCGGGCAAGCGCAAAATCAGTATATCAAGCAACTGATTGTATCAAACATCGCCTCTATAGCTTAATAAGAAACGAGGAAGAAGAAAACTCATTATAAGTATGCAAAAGAATGATATGAGGATGCAAGTGAGGAACACAAAAGTACAGTCTATATATCAATACTGCTTGATACCAGAAATATAAAACAAGGCAAAAACTTGCGTGAAACCGTCTCACATATCCTTGTCCGTGAGATCATGAGTCAATATGGTCAAGATGAAAATGTAATACTAAAATTCTAAAAATGTAATACTAATCAGGAATAAAATGTTTATTACTTATATGGGAAAATGTAATACTTTTGAAAAAAAAATATACTCCGTAATATACCCCCACCACCTACGTACCTACCTACCTGGCTACCTAGCCCACACGATCCCCAACTATCTATCTTTTAAAAACTTTTTATTTTATATATTGGAAATTAATTCAATTTGAACATGTTTTCTACTTTATGTTTATTAATGGAAAATGAAAACTTGGAATGTTTAAAAAAAAAAGACATGAAGATTGAGCATGGAAAACATTTTTCGTAACTAAAAAGCAACCAATCCAATAAAATTTGAGAGAAAAAAAAAAAAAAAATTAGGGGTGGAACCATGTTGCAGGATGTAACCAGTGGCTGCAGTTCCAAAAACACCAGCCAGCACTCCAGCAGTATTTGATAGACCCATTAGCACTCCCTGCAAGTCACACGAAACTTGAGCTCACCTGATTTAAGAGGTTGAAAATAACATAACTAAAAGCAGTGAATTATGGTATTTAATCAATAAAAGTAAAGGACCATTTCAAGTGAAATGTAGATCATAGCTAACCATGATTATAATCAGTGAAGCATATAGCTTAGGATATTCGCATTCTTAGAACTTCACGTCATATCCAACAAGGGAAATATGTGCGCGTGTATGCATGTAAAATGAAATATTATACTCACCGAGTATCGGGGAGCAATATCCTGATGGTTTGAATATAATCCAGACTGTGAAAAAGCATCACTTCCCTGTTTCAAAAATAAAATTAATCAGAAAAATAGCACTGCTATACAGTTAAGCCACAGATTTTATCAATATTGACTATAGTTCTTTGAATAGTTGATTGAAAGACGATTTAAGTTGCTCAAGTAAAATCAGAGAAGATAACATGCAGGCGAGATATCAGGATAATACTTTGAATAATTTTATTCACTGTGAAAACCCGACTTCAATAATGAAAATTCCAAAAACATAATCGCAAAAACAAAGACTGGAGTTGAGTAAATTCACATCTTAATATGAAATAAGCACAAACCTGACTGCATGTCATGCACAGGACTGCCATTGCAGGAGAATCAACATGGCTCAATTGAGTTAGAAAGAAAGCAGGGCCAAGAAACCCTATTGTCTGCATTATCTGCATCGAGATTATAGAATGAAATGTCAGATAAGATCAATTAATTCAAATATTTTTATAAATCAACAGAAACATTCAAGAACTAAGAAGTGAGAAAACTTGAATCCTCTAAGCAATCTGGTTCTCACTGAATAACTGGTGGTACATAGAAGCTACTTTTCTACCATTTGAAATACTGGGAAGGAATCGTTTCAAAATCCCAACCAACCTAAAGCCAACAAGAAAACTGAGTAATACCTTCCTGACTACCGTCACTGATACACCTTTCCTCACTAATGAATCTGCAATCCATCCTCCAGCATATGCAGAGAATGCCATTGTAAGCCATGGCAAAACGGCAAACATTCCTGATTCAGTAAGATTAAACTTCAATACCTGCAATCAAAATGAACAACCAAAAATATCTCAGTAACTGAAATGGTGACAAATAATTAGGCTCCTAGGCAATAACGTCAAAGAAATAGCTTTTGCAGCACTAGGAAACACCTAAATCATGATTGGACTGAGATTGAGCATCTAAGTTTTATGAAATGGCATAGGGCTATATGCAAAAGAGGCATGATACAATTACCATTGAAAAGAGGTCAAACTAAGGAAAATGGTAGTGGAAAGAGTACTCCAGGATTAAGCTAATCAAATTAAACATTTATCTCTAATTGCAATGTATGAAATCCAAGCACATACACCAAATTAAATATTTGGTCTTGTGCCAATCCCAGCAAAGTTCCCTATTAAGTATAGAGTTTGTTTTGAAAGTTTGTAACATCAATGAACTTCAGTTTATATGTCTTAAGACTTAATTGTGCAAAATAGCCTGCAAATATAAGGGGTCAAGATGCTAAGATGAGATATTTGTGTAAATCACATAAAGGTTATAGGAAAGGAAACAAAAGAATGTAAATATACTACCTGGTGATAATATGTAGGCATCCATGTAAGAAGAATAAAAGTTCCCCAATTGTGACAGAAGTGAGACACTATCAAGGCCCAAACAGGTGGTTTTGACAAAATTAGTTTCCAAGGGATAGATTTTACTGGTTCCTTGGAAACACTGTTTCTAAGAATGAGCTTCTTTTCTTCAGGCAACAATTCAGGATCATCAAGGGGTGAGCTGTGTGCCTGAACAAAAAAATAAAATAAAATAGAATAACAACATTTTCTTAAATTAACATAAAATGTGGACTGTTGACAAGGAAATCTGAGAAATGCCACTTTAGAAGGCAGAGTTTATAAAAAATTCCCTCAATCACCAAAATATTATAAGCATACAGTTCAATGTCTACCTTACTAAGCCACACTGTGAACCAAACAGTGCCTAAGGAACCAAAGGAATAGAAGACAGATGGCCAGCCAAACTTATGAATTAACATTGGTGAAAATGCCAGACCAGTGACAGATCCAAGATACATTCCACTGTACACCATGGCTAATGATCTGCTTCTTTCTGAGACAGGAACCCACTTTGAAAGAAGATTATTCATTGCTGGCATGGCAACACCCTGGAACAGAGAAAATGGAATTGGCTCAGCAGAAAGTAATGAATGTGGCTTTTGTTGACTTGGAGGCACTAATGGCAACTTGTAGTACAAGACAGGAGATTACAAGAAAGATACATCATCATTCAATTGTAAAAGTACCATGTGTAAGTATATTGGAACAAAATTTTCAATCTTTTCCAATGTATTGAACTGAAAATAACAGTAAAGAGTTAAAGAACCAACCTCACCAATCCCCATGAAAGCTCGGACAATAAATAAGAAAGGTAACCCAAGTTTTGCTGCAATTGGTGTGAGGATTGTAGCTATAGACCACCAAACTACACCAAATCCTAAGACAAGCTTCCCTCCAACCGTGTCAGCCCATATTCCCCCTGCAATCTGGGTATAACCCAAAAAAAAAAATAGAGAGGGAATACTTGTAAGGAAAAGAAATGCACAATAGCAATTCAACAAGAATAAATAATACAAGTGATTCAGTGAACTAGTAAAAAAGAATCAAAATAGAAGATCTCAAAATTCAGAAACTGAGCACCATGAATGAAAGTATATAGCCCCAATTATGGCCTTAAAATGCCATAATCATATAAAGAAATGATAATTTTATTACCTGAGTTAAAAGATAGCCCCAGAAAAAGGAAGATTGTATCAAACCAACAGTCGTAGGACTCCAATGATATTCTGATGCCATTGGAAGTATGGCTATGCTCATGTTTACCTGCAGAACATAATCTGCTTAAAGTTCCCAACTGAAAATTCCTAATTCATTTTATCATCAAAACCAAAAACAAGAACAGCATCTACTTCTTTTCTACTCGTGGCTCTATTTTTGATTTTTTTCACGCAATGCCATAAGCGATGAAGCTAAGACATCCACTCAGGGTAGTTCACTATCTAGTATCTAGTACCAAAGTAGGCTGCATTAAAAGCATCATTTTTTTGGTTGCATTTTCTTGCATAGCATCTGAAGCAATCCATTATGGAAAATGTATCAGAGGAAAGCTTAGTATTATTTATAGTAAGTGTTGCTTCTCTATCCAATTTGAGTACATGATTTGTTGTCTCCCATAACAGCCACCTAAAATAACAGCATTGTTAACTTTTTATCACATAGTGCACTAGAATGTAATCAAGAAAAGCAGCTTCCTTTTTATAATTTTCCATAAAACTATTAAGCAAGTGAAGTAGCTGCTAAGTTCTTCGGCTCACATTCGTGATTTCTAGCAGCCTTCAGATCTTATATATGGAGATAACATAAAGTCATAAACTAAATGAAAAAGAAATGGTGGCTTACTCTATCCATATTGCAAAGTAGAAAAGCGGAGAAACAGAGAAGCACGATAACCCAACGCTTGGGGAATCCCCCCGATATGGTCTCACCATCATCCTCCGTCAATACGTCGTCGTTGAGAGCATCTTCAAACTTGAGAGATTCCGGCACCGAGTCCGAAATGCCATACGTTTTGGACTTGACATCCGCCCATGCCCTCCAACTCGTCCTCCTAATCAATCCACGTCTAAAACCCCGCCCCGGTAGAAACGGAGACCCGAATTCGAACAGAGTATGAGTGTGAGAGCGAGAGCTAAAACTTCTCTTGGGAAAGGTCGCCTCGGGTGAGCAGTGGAGCTTCGGAGGAAGGTTGTAGTAGGAGAGAAGAAGAGCTCTCGCTGTCATAGCTTTGAGTGGCAGCGAGATTTCGCTGCTACTTTCAATTCTGATTCTTTCTCTTCCTCTTCTCTTCGCCCAGTCTGTGTGTTCTGGTTGAGTGAGAAAGGAGGAGGAGGAGAGGCCTGGCTGGGTTGAGATAGATTCTTTTGAATGGTTTTGTGGGTTGAAAATGTTGTGCAATGATTTTTTATGCTCCGCTCCAACTACAGTCTACAATACAGACAAAGGACTTGAAGGAGTAACAAACTACTTCGTAGTCCGTATCTTTTATTTAATTTTACAAAAACAATTATTTCCCCAATTATTACAACTTATCGTTTTCATCATGCTTAGTCTTTTTAACCAATTTTCACTTGACTTGCGTTCTGGGTACTCAGGGTGGTCGGGTGCTTGGCTCATTACGCCCCCTCGAGGTGTCCTCTAGGTGATCTCAGGGCAGAGCGAGGGGCCTTGCATATCTCTTTGGAGTCTATCTGCGAGTCGGGTCAATGCGCTAGTGGCCAACTCCTCCTGGAGGGTAGGGTTCGGAGGAGGGCGATGGGAGCCGGTGCACTATTGCGATGGTTTGTGAGGCGATCTCTTAGGTCCCCTACCGACCTCACGGAGACGGTTTGCTGGTGGCTAGCGGTCCCGTTGAGGTCGTTCCCGGTTGGGGCGACTTGAGTGTCACGAGAATCGTTTGTGTTACGAGAGTTGGATCTCGACCTTATCATAGCTAGTGAAAAAATAGCACGCTCGAGCCTGATGTCGAGCTCTCCATGAAAGCACCAATAATGGATTTTAATTAACTTGGGGTGGCCCGAATCTACAAACTCGATAAATAAGGAATAATTAATGTGTATGCAAAATAGACAAAATGTGTGTTGTAAGGTCGCGGGGACCAAATATTGTATTAATAATAGAGTTGTCAAGCTATTACAATGGCTATGTAATGTTATTACAATAGTAGTTTAGGACAAAGATATTGAATATGATAAGAGAGAAATCCTAAAGAGATAAAACGAGCACCCTTTATACCTAGGACACCCGTAACCGCGTCCCTTAAAGAGGAGGGGACGGTTACAACCGTTTTTGACCGCACCCGGAGTCCGGGTGGGTCGGTTGGTACCTCGACCGAGAAGTTGGCCGAAGGGGTCAACTCATGGGCACGGCTCGACCAGGGGGTCGGCCAAGGAGGTCAGCCGCGGAGTCGACCTGGGAGGTCACCCGTGGAGCTGACCTGGGAGGTCACCTGTGCAGCTGTCTTGCGAGGTCACCCGCCAAGACGACCCGGGTCATGCGCGGAGCTTGACCTCGGGCCCCCAGGTCTTCAATGCGGGCCCCCAAGTCTTCGATGCTCCATTTTTTTGGATCGGGTCGCACCATTTCTAATATGTCCATCAAATACATTCAATTATGATATATAAAGTTTCTGTATAACTATTGAGTCTATAAAAGATGAAGAGATATTATCATAATATAATATTTCTAATAATGTATATATATATATATATATATATATATATATATATATATATATATATTCACAACAAGACTCTAAATTTTATAACAAAATCTTAATAATCCATGTGCAATAGAATTTCTCAGGAAATCAATCTATTAGGGAGGAAAGGGTCCCTCTGTAAGAGGAAACATAAAAATTTAAGTAATCTTTTGCATGCTGTATATAATAATAATAATAATAATAATAATAATAATAATAATAATAATAATAATAATAATAATAATAATAATAATAATAATAATAATAATAATATAGTACACAAAATATAAAATGATGGAAATTCTATACCAATAAATAAATAATGGACATCTGAAAATTTCCTTGAATACTGCAAAAAGAAAAATTAAAATAGTGGGGGATATTTATGGGTACTGGTTTTGGTGTTGACAGGTGGACAAGGTAATGTTCATTCAGATAACGGAACTGTGGACCTTATTTGTCCTTTTATGGGATTATTCGTGTCCCACACTCCACTTCCTTGGGCTTGGCCTTTTAGCTTTTCTTAAAAGGTCATATCATTAGAGCCCATCAATGAAGAGATAAGCCCAACTTTGAGCAAAGCTTTTTATAAAATATATATATATATATTGTATATATAATATTAATATATGACGATTAATCAAATATTGAAAGGATCGGATCATATGCCAAAATGCGTGTATATCCTGGAGAGAGATGTTGGTAAAGACAACGGCCTTGTTTGGTAAATCACTGTTAGTCAATCGTTATACCTTGCACTATGGTGCACAGTGCACTGTGCGTCCTGCGTGTTCCAAAACGACGTTGTTTTAGGAGGTGCGGTAGGAAGTTGACATGATTATGTATATTTGTTTATACAATTATGTATATTTTTTATTATGTACATTTTTATAAAATTATGTACATTTTTTATACAATTATGTACATCCGAATCAGGAAATTTTTGTGTATTATGTTAAGAGTTGATGTTAAAAGTTTATGTTTATTATGTATATGTTAGATTATGTGTATTATCTTTAAAAAAAAGAGTATGTGTATTTTGTTATATAATTATGTACATTCATGTATACAATTATGTGTATTCTAGTATAACATTATGTACATTTTTGAATATGATTTTTTTTTTTAAGGAAAATTAATTGCCAAACACTGGGTAGCGATATTTCAAAAAAATAAAAATAAAATTGAAACGACGTCGTTTTGCATCTGGGCGCACAATGCAACGCGCGCCGTGGTGCAGGATATAAATTGCCACTATTAGCTGATTGAGTTAATTGTATGGTATAATTAGTTGATAACATTAGCTGATTGTAGAAAGATGTTTGGTAAATTAGTTGGGCGAGCTCATGAGGTGGCCTCATTGATGCGTCCTCCTCTTGGGCGAGCTCATGAGTTAGCCGTCCTCCTCTTGGGCGAGCTCATGACGTAGCTTCCTTGTTAGAGAGAGTCAGGCTCTCGGCCACCCTTAACCGAGGCTTCCCCGGCCGAGGTTACCTCTAGCCGGGAATACCCCAACTAAGGTCGCCTTGGGAGGGCTAAGCTTGAGTCCCCGTGCGCCCTCTTTGGTCGTGTTTGACTTCGGTTGATGAATATCCTCATTGCCTCGGCCCAGACCCGGAGTTTGGGCTCTACTTAGTGGTTCCGTCGGGGTTGATAAGCGAGGTCGTGCCTCGTGCCCCCTTAGGGTAAGCCCGTCGGTCCCAAGTCACCGGACTTGGGCCGTTAAGCTCTTCTGTCGGGGTTGGTACGCGAGGTCGAGCCTCGTGCCCCCTTAGGGTAAGCCCGTCGGCCCCAAATCACCGGACTTGGGCCGTTAAGCTCTTCCGTCGGGGTTGGTACGCGAGGTCGGGCCTCGTGCCCCCTTAGGGTAAGCCCGTCGGCCCCAAGTCACCGGACTTGGGCCGTTAAGCTCTTCCGTCGGTGTTGGTACGCGAGGTCGGGCCTCGTGCCCCCTTAGGGTAAGCCCGTCGGCCCCAAGTCACCAGACTTGGGTCGTTAAGCTCTTCCGTCTGGGTTGGTACGCGAGGTCGGGCCTCGTGCCACCTTAGGGTAAGCCCGTCGGCCCCAAGTCATCGGACTTGGGCCGTTAAGCTCTTCCGTCGGGGTTTGTACACGAGGTCGGGCCTCGTGCCCCCTTAGGGTAACCGAAGAGGCTGGATGGGTACCTCCACCCCTCCCGGAATAGTGAAAATGAGTCCATGACGAAGTTTTACTGCGTTTATTGAAGCTGAAGGGCGGCGGACCGCCTTACAAGATATAAATATTGGAAGTACCACGCTTGTCGTGGTAGGCCTTAGCTTGGCGTTGGTGATTCTTGGCGCGGAGGTTCGGTGGTTTCCCTCGTTGAGGCAGGGGTCGTATTCTTCTGCCTGATGGGAAGGTATTGCTACCTCGGAGGAGATCCGGGCTTCAAAGTCGTAGAGCGAGGAGAATGGGGTCTCCCCGGTGGCCCTCCTCGGGGTATAGGTCGCGTAGCAGGGTGCCGTTGTAGACCCTTCCGCAGAGTGTGTCCTCGAGGAGTAGGCAGGTTGGGGCCCTCCTTTTCACGAGTTTGGCCTCCCCCTCTCCTGCGGGGAGGACGTCTGTCTTCTTGTACTCCTTAAGGTGGTCGAGCCAGTAGGGAGCTTGAGCTTGCAAGGGGAGGATCGGGTAGGCCTCCGAACTGGATTTCTTGGGATTCTTCACCCAAGCTATCTTGGAGGCGTGCTTGGGGCTGAGGTCTAGGGGTTGGACTGAGTAGGTATCCTTGCGTCGACCTCCTCAATGTTTGATATTGCCTCGTCGTGGTATAAGTAAAGTAGCATGGTGTCGCTGTAGGACTTCTTATAACGTGCATCACCTGGGAGCGGGTAGGTTCTCATTGCCTGTTTGGCCTCGGCCTGTCAAGGGGCAAGCAGCCCATACTAGGCTCTTTCGCTAGGTAGTAGTGAGCGGGGGCGTCCTCCCTATACTACCGTTAGGGAAAACCAAGGTCGGGGCTGGCGCGCACGACCACGACCATGGGTTAATAACTCCTCTTCCTGCTAGGCGAGGTTGGATTCCGCCGATTCTACTAGGGAGAACATATGTCGCTGTTCGGGGTCAAGCCCCCCACCTCCTTTACCTTTGGAAAAAATAAAATAGTTTTGGGGTTCAGGGGTGGGGTCACAATGTGCCCCCTTTTCTGGAACAATGGTATTGGGGTCGAAGACCACGTTGGCGGGCCACTCAAGGTATAGGACCTCCTCAATGTGCCCTATTTCGAGGATGGTGTTGACCTGTGCGTGGTGGTTGGGTGCTTGGGTCGCTGCGGCCTCTCGGGGAAGGCGAAGGTGGGGTCGGCACACTTCGGGTGGGCTCTGGACCGACCCACGTACCTCCTTGGAGCCCCTCCGCGAGGCGGGCCAGCATCACGGAAGCTTGTTCAAGGGCCACCGCCTCCCCTAGAAGAGAGCGGGATTTGGAGGAGGGGCGGCGGGGGTCCCCGACGTGCCATTGCGGTGGTTGGGTGCTTGGGCCGCTGCGCCCTCCCGGGGAAGGCGGAGGTGGGGTCGGCACCCTTCGGGTGGCCTCCGGGCCGACCCACGTACCTCTTTGGAGCCCCTTAGCGAGGCGGGCCAGCGTCACGGAAGCTTGTTCGAGGACCACCGCCTCCTCCTAGAAGAGAGTGAGATTCGGAGGAGGGGCGACGGGGGTCCCCGACGTGC